TTTTATCCTTAATTATCTTTAAGAACGGCTGTTATATTCTGAGTATTGTCGCCCGTCTATTAGTACTTACCTGCGGGTAAACCAGATGACTCCTCAAGAACATTAATGAAACACAAGAGCGTGACGGATCTCTAGGAGTGTGCTGAGGCCGGCCGACGGTTCGATCCCGTGGTATACCCACAAGTCAAATCTAATCAGATTAAAAGCTTTATTCACAAAATGGTTGTACATTTATAATTGGAAAAGTTTACATACATACAAGTTTACATAATAGGCTATATGTATTACAGTCTATATACAGTCTGTTATTATAATGGACTAATTAATGGACTCATTAATTAATGGACTGTAATTTGTATGTAAACTTTCCCAATTCTAGATGTACAACCATTTGTGAATCAAGTTTTTGATCTGATTAGATTTGATTTGTGGGTATACAATGGGATCGAACCGTCGCACGTCGCCTCGGCACGTTCCTAGAGATCCTGAGCACATGTTCCTGAGCGCCAGATCCTGAGCGCAAGATCCTGAGCACAAGATCAGGATCTTGCTATTATGCAGGCGATGAGTCACAATAACGTGGCTGAAGTATGATGACCAGACCACACACTAGAAATTGAAGAGATGACGACGTTTCGGTCCGTCCAGGACCATTCTCAAGTCGATTGTGTGAATCACACAATCGACTTGAGAATGGTCCAGGACGGACCGAAACGTCGTCGTCTCTTCAATTTCTAGTGTGTGGTCTGGTCATCATCTTGCTATTAATTAGTATTGCTATTCCATTCTAATAATTGCTATTTATTATTATATGAAATGCTTGCTATTCACTAATATAACACATTGTGTTATTGTGACAGAGGAGATTGTCAGAATAACACCATAGCACGGAGACGTTGTTATAGTGAGAATAAACAAGGCTTTCTCACTAATGCTGTATAAACATTTTAAATAACTTTTATTTTATACATATAAATGCCTGGGCCTCTTCACTTCCAGTATATTAAATATATTATAACGTGAGTCTTAAAGCTATACAGCAGAACGCTGTGTGTTCCTGTGTGTTCCAGTTTGTTTCTGTGTGTTCCTGTGTGTTTATGTGTGTTTCTGTGTGTTCATGTTTGTTTCTGTGTGTTTCTGTGTGTTTATGTGTGTTTCTGTGTGTTCATGTTTGTTCCTGTGTGTTCCTGTTTGTTTATGTGTGTTTCTGTGTGTTCATGTTTGTTTCTGTGTGTTTATGTGTGTTTCTGTGTGTTCATGTTTGTTCCTGTGTGTTTCTGTGTGTTCATGTGTGTTCCTGTGTGTTCCAGTTTGTTTCTGTGTGTTCCTGTGTGTTCCAGTTTGTTTCTGTGTGTTCATGTTTGTTTCTGTGTGTTCATGTTTGTTTCTGTGTGTTTATGTTTGTTCCTGTGTGTTCCTGTGTGTTACTGTGTGTTCCAGTTTGTTTCTGTGTGTTCATGTTTGTTCCTGTGTGTTCCTGTGTGTTCCTGTGTGTTCCAGTTTGTTTCTGTGTGTTTATGTGTGTTCCAGTTTGTTTCTGTGTGTTCCAGTGTGTTTCTGTGTGTTCCTGAGTGTTGCTGTGTGTTGCTGTGTGTTCCAGTTTGTTTCTGTGTGTTTATGTGTGTTCCAGTTTGTTTCTGTGTGTTCCAGTGTGTTTCTGTGTGTTCCTGAGTGTTGCTGTGTGTTGCTGTGTGTTCCTGTGTGTTCCAGTTTGTTTCTGTGTGTTTATGTGTGTTCATGTTTGTTTCTGTGTGTTCCAGTGTGTTTCTGTGTGTTCCAGTGTGTTTCTGTGTGTTCCTGAGTGTTCCTGTGTGTTGCTGTGTGTTCCGTGATCGCGATCACTCCGCCACATCCCTACGTCATCCCAAATGGTTGACTCCACAGCACCATCCTGGGGGGGGGGGGGGGAAGGAGCAGTGTCCCAAATAAACTTGCTTCATTGTGGGCAAATCCTTACTACTCATGCCCGTGCCACCTCTTGGGTGGCTTAATCTTCATCAATCATCAATCAATCGGCAAATCCTTAAACCCGAGCGTGTCAGGGTACCTTGAGGTACTATGATGTACTCTGCAGACAGTGATCGTAGCCTTTGACTGTGGGCCAGTGTGTCATGATTCTGAACAAATCCACAAGGGCCGTGATGAGGGTTCGAACCTACGTCCGGATGATCCCAGACGCGCCTTTGTCGATTGCGCCACGACATGGAATGTTGTTGTTGTTAAAGATTTAGCTACTCAGGACGAAGTGTCCATGTAGCACGGGCTATGGTGAGCCCGTAAGACGACATGGAAATTCCCTTGTGGATTTGCTCATTTGATGTATTGTGATTTTTGTGTGTGTCTTGATTCTCTTATGTGTAGAGGGAGGCTGGTCATGTGCTCGTCTGAGGGCCGGTGTCGCTGCTTTCAATAAACACTTCGCTGTGAAGATTTCACGCACTTTCACATCACTTAACTAAAAGTTGGGAAGCGGAACCCAAGAGCTGAAACGCTACTGTCGTAAGCACAGCCAGGTGAGCACTAATTATCCACCTAACTGTACTTACCGAACAGTGACTACGGGTAAGTGAGGTCTACCTCGTTATGCTCCGCTAACTTGCCCTCGTGTACCTGGTGCGTTTTTTTTTTTACTTTCCAGACTGGAGTTGTGTGTGGTACCCGGCCGCCCGTACAGGGTGGTACCCGGCCTCCCATACAGTGTGGTACCCGGCCGCCCGTACAGGGTGGTACCCGGCCTCCTGTACAGGGTGGTACCCGGCCTCCCATACAGGGTGGTACCCGGCCTCCCATACAGGGTGGTACCCGGCCTCCCATACAGGGTGGTACCCGGCCTCCCGTACAGGGTGGTACTCGGCCTCCCATACAGGGTGGTACCCGGCCTCCCATACAGGGTGGTACCCGGCCTCCCATACAGGGTGGTACCCGGCCTCCCATACAGGGTGGTACCCGGCCTCCCGTACAGGGTGGTACTCGGCCTCCCATACAGGGTGGTACCCGGCCTCCCATACAGGGTGGTACCCGGCCTCCCATACAGGGTGGTACCCGGCCTCCCGTACAGGGTGGTACCCGGCCGCCCGTACAGGGTGGTACCCGGCCGCCCGTACAGGGTGGTACCCGGCCGCCCGTACAGGGTGGTACCCGGCCTCCCATACAGGGTGGTACCCGGCCTCCCGTACAGGGTGGTACCCGGCCTCCCGTACAGGGTGGTACTCGGCCTCCCATACAGGGTGGTACCCGGCCTCCCATACAGGGTGGTACCCGGCCTCCCATACAGGGTGGTACCCGGCCTCCCGTACAGGGTGGTACCCGGCCGCCCGTACAGGGTGGTACCCGGCCGCCCGTACAGGGTGGTACCCGG